ATGACCAGACAACCAATCTTCAGCTTCAACACATGTGGAGGTAGACCATTGGGTGTCAAAGTGTTAAGGAATTCCTTAGGGTAGTAGTTGCGCGGATCATCCACCGCACAGTCAAAACTATGGTACACCATCTCTTTCCCGTGGAAATGACCTATCATCTTCATATTAATCATATCAACCCAGTCGTTCCGTGTAGATAAGATCGCTCGAGAGGTGATATAATCTTTGCTTGACATATTCGCATTGAGGTTAGGGAATATGCAGTCAATTAGAGTATCAAGGTCACTATCTTCCCCGGCGTGCGGTATGCATATATCATGAGGAAGACGGATTTCATCATCAACAGTCACCTCCTTAGATCCTCCACCGACGCGCAACAAGTATTCTGCAAACCACGGGTCGCTCTTTGCCCTCATGTTGCGCACCAGTTTTAGACATCGCATGGAATCCCAAAGGTACGACATATGCAGCGAGGCACCAACCACCTGAGCCCTCGACCCTCTCTGAACAACAGGAAGAACCTGTCTGAAATCTCTACCAAACACCACGGTCTTCCCACCGAACGACAGCTCTAGTCGGTCCATTATATCATGGAGACTATTGTCCAGCGCCTCGATAGACTATCTCTTTGTCATGCTAGCCTCATCCCAAATAATGAGAGATGATGCTCGAAGCAGCTTGGCAGTACCACTCTGTTTCATGAAGGTACAAAAGGCCCCATTATCAATGGTGAGGGAAATCTTGAAGCGCGAGTGGACGGTTCTACACCAGGCATTATTGAGGCTATGACACCAGATGTAGCTGTTGCCACAGCAATCTTTTTCTGACTGCGTATAGTAGCGACAAGTGCTCTATACAGATAAGTCTTTCCGGTCCCGCTAGGACCATCCACAAAGAAGAGACCCTCATCCTCGGTATCAACCGAGGACATGATCTCATCGTATGCAGCCCGCTGCTCCTCGTTAAGGGTGTCTGATAGAGCCACACCATCCTCGTTAGCCTCAATGCTAGCCTCCTCAAAAATCTCTCTAGGAATATCACGAGAGGCATCATCTGTGTCGTCGATATCAGGAAGTGGGTACATCTTTATATCCTTCTGCATTGATTGTAGCAATTTTCAAACCTATTAAGATGACACGAGCGATCCGTATTTGCATATCATCAAGGCAACTCTATGAACTTGCAAGTAAATAGCAACATGTGTTCAGGAAAAAAGTTTTGTTCCACTTAGTTTTTTCATGCCCAATACCTATGTACGAGCAAATTTTGTGGGCAAAAGAAATGAAATGTGGTTTGCATGAAAGGATGAGGACTGAATTGGCGATCATCAGGCAGTGCAAAAAGCTCAAAATTCCAACCAAAATAGATGGACTAAAACCAAACAAACTCACTGTAAATTACCCAAACAGCACGACATATGTTCTTGTTGAAACAAATGAGCTCACTCTGAACTATCCAAAATGCACTAAATCTAAAGCATTGCCATATTGCAGACATAGAAAAAACAGAAAAGGAGCACATTTAGCTTCCAGTTGAGTAGTTGACCATGGTGTAATGAAAAATGTAATTATAAACATTATGGTCTCGATAACCGATCATGCAAAGGGAGACTATTCTAGTTTCATAAATATCCTCAGAAAATTGTCAACAACTAACAGGATGTTTATTAGAATGTCCACTTAAAAATCAAAACACTGACAGGTCCATGAACCATGGATCGACGGTGTGGTGTGTGAGCGGTCCACCATGGACCGAGTCCATGCTGAAGGGTATGGGTCCTTGTATTTCCAATGTATTTCCTCTTTTATTCTTCTAAAGGAAAACGGCAAGAAAGTGTGGACATGTCATCCTGATGTCATCAAGCTAACAAGCTAGGAACGCTCGTGCAAAGCAGAGCACGGAACAGAGCACGACCGGTGCTCGGCGGCCATTTCCCAGCAACGTGAGCTTGCGGTTGCGCAGTGTGCCTTGTGCGCGCGTGCATGGAAAAAGAGCGCAGGGGTGCGGGGAAGCTCACCTGCGGCTTACCAAGGGAGGAGGAGCAAGGCCTGGACTGGCTATTCCCGGAGCGAGCTCACGCCTAGCAATGGTGGTGCGACGTAGGAGTTCGCGGGCGTGATGCTTGTGCTGCCTAGCTGGTAGTCGTGGGCTGGTGGTTCACGCTAAGGAGCTCGGCCGCTCGCCATGATCACCGATCTATTGCAGGCTCCGCGGACTATAGGTGGCGAGATTAGCGATCTGTTGCAATGGACATCGGAGCAGTGTCCTGATTCCACGTGCCTGGCGTGTGTCAGCGGTGGTGGAGACCTGAGCCCGCGGCGGCGCAAAGCAGCAGCGTCAGTGGGGAGGGCGCGGCGCCACGGAGACTTGAGCGGGACTATTCGGCGACGGTTCCGCTGGTCGTCGTCGTCCGTGTGTTTCTGCTAGGATTAGCCGTGGTCGTCTTCGCCCACGTGCTGCTGTTAGGATTTGGGTTTGGGTGTTCCGTTTCACATAGTTGGAAGGGAAGACAAATGGGGATATAGGGTCCTGGTGACGTACCTGGTGGGTGCTCGTCGCTAGCTCGGCGTCGTGACAGTGTACGCCAGCATTAGCGGGCAGGGCAGCGAGGCGACGAGGACAAGATAGGGCGTCAGACGGGGCCGGTACGGGGCAGGACGTGGACAGGGCGCGATTGAACGATGGCGTTGATCGGCGGATGACGCGTGCGATGGCAAAGGTGGCTCGGGGGCCAGGCACGAGGAGGTGAGGACGCGGCGCCGTGCGACTGCAGAGTGCCAGGGAGGTCACGGTGCAGGTGATGGCACGGTCTCGCGTGATTGGCGGCGTTGGGTGATCGCGGAATTGATCACGATTGTTACGGGAATTGATTTTTGCCTTCCTGATTTGCTGTGACTATTACGGGGATTGAGTTGATCGCATAGAGCGAGTGTGCGTTGCCTTACTGATCTGATCGCATGGAGCGGCTTTGGTGTCGTACTTGTGGACGGAATAGTTATGAATGTTTTAGTTGTAGAGATATGTTTAAGTTGGACATTAGCACAGGATTAGATCAAATAAGCAAGTAGTGTCATTAGCACTTGGAACAGATCCGTTTAGATTTATTCATCAGGTTTAATGGGCAATTATTTCTAAGATTAAATCTATCTGTTCTGCATGCCTGTCCTCCCCCCCCTCCTATCTGTTAAGCCTAAGATGCATGATTCATTTCTTATTTTCATGGGCAAGGATGTCTAACTTTGGCCCTAAGAATTAGATCAAGTTTTCTCATGATTAGAGGTAATCATATCTAAGACGGATTCAGTCATATATGCATGCCTATGCTTAGCTGCTCGATCCGTTAACGTTTGCATTGCTGTTCTTGTCATTACTGCATGCTGTTGAACTAAAATAATTGGGATTTCCCTCTCATGAAATAATTGCATGGACTGACAACGTTCATGTCAATTAAAAAATGTGGATTTAGTTAAGTTGCTGCTTGCGGTGTACATTTGCTCATTGTTCAGTAAATTGAGGTGAATATGACAATATGGAAACAGTGAAACATTGGGACGTTTTTTATTTCTAGTTCCGTATCTATCTATAAAAGACTATAGTTTTTAGGGGGGTCACGTTGGATCACTGTTTATCCAACGTGACTCCTCACATATCACTGTACCACCCTTTTTCCCCGATCTGCGATGAACAGTCCCCCGATAATGAACAGTACCTTCTTTTTTTTTTTGTCCATTTTTCCCTAAATTTTTTCCCCTCTCCTCTTCTTCCCACGCGAAACGTGGGGGCGCACGCTAGTGAATATGATTTCTTTTAACGTGAGTAGGGGACAATTAAAGATAAACGTAAATGCTAAGTGAAAAAGAGTTATTGACTAGCATATATGATTGCGATGTAGAAAATTAATTTCATGATTCCTTTGTTTGAACTTAATTAATGATCTCAAATGCCTGTGACTGAATTACTTGCTGGCACTTGTTTATGTACGTCCTGATATATCATTGATTTCTTACGAATATTTTATAGCAGTACAAATCTATTCTTTTGTTTTTGGTGAGGCAGTACAAACGTTGTCCATTTTTTCAAGAATCTGTGTGTACTTTCTTTTTCACTATGTTGATTTTACACATTGCAATGATCCAATTTGTAGAAGTCATGAAGTTATGGCTTAGAATGTGATTTTCAGACTTTTGACTCAACTGTTCACCACATCTTTTCACGAACACCAGGTAAGACCTTCAGCTTGGTTTTGTGTTGACCTCTTGGTAAACACTATGTGCCAAACATTCTTTGTATGTCACTGCAAAATGTCCTGTAATCAGTTTATTAGCACAGTATGGCAATCTTACCCGCGGGTGCGGGTACCCACGGCTTTCGTTGACCTCCTAATCATAGAATGACTGTAGTTTCGTTGACCTCTTGAGTTCTTAGCATTTCAAAGCAAATCAAGGTAACGGATAACATGTAATGATGTGTATGTGTTTTCCTTCAAAAGTTCTAGTTGTATGCGAAGGCGTTGACCTCCTTTTTTTTTTGATGCAGAAGGCACCTCCTTAATCGAACCTGACGAAGATGACCATATCGTCAGTGTAATATAGGCTCAAAGCCTACCAAGGCCCATCTAGAAAGCCCAGCCCAGACCAGTCAAGACAGAGGAACCACCGACCATTGTGCCAAGAAAGGAAGGGATCCCAGAAAGGAAAGCAGGAAACCAGTCCGTGAGCGCCTGAGCGGTCCTTTCCCCTTCGTCGTCTCCACAGAGCAGTCCCCGTTCCCCACTCCACTCTGCCTCGGCGCAAAACCCTCTTCGACAGCTGGAGCGACAGGGCAGCCGACTGCGACAACTCCCTCGTCTCCAAGGCTCTGCTGTAGTGCTGTGTGTCACCATCTTTCTCGCTCGTCTCCAATTCACTACCTTTAAGTTGTTCTTGCTGCGAGGGAAGAGTAGACAGGTGGAGCGGAAAAACCTCAAATTTGCCCTGCCCTGATTGCATTGCAGGCTCGCAATGTCGGTTTCGGCCTCGCCCGTCGGCCGCAGCAGCGGACCTCCACAGCCCTCCTCGTCCTCCATCACCGCCGCGGCGGCCACCGGGACGCACCAGCTCAAGATCGACGGCTACTCTCTCACCAAGTCCCTGCCGAGCGGCGCCCACATCAAGTCCTCCAATTTCCAGGCGGTGGGCTACAGCTGGTACATCAACTACTTCCCCAACGGCTGCGGCGGCCTGATCAAGCGCGCCCGCGGCTACCTCTCCCTGCAGGTCGTCCTCGACGGTGCCGTCGCCGCCACCGCCGGGGCCGTCATGGCGCAGTCCACCCTTTCCCTGATCAACAGCGCTGGCCTCCTGGAAGGAACAACCGCACGCAAGACTAGAGTCCGGTGCACAATCTCGCGCGTGGGGGAGCGGCAGGGTGGTGGTTCTTCAAGTACATGAGCAAGGCGGACCTGGAGAGCAAATTCCTCTACCTCAAGGACGACAGCTTCACGCTCCAGTGCGACGTCGTCATCATCGACAGGTTCCGCGCGGTGAAAGCTGCTCCCTTTGTGGAGGTGCCGCCGCCCGACCTGCACCGCCACCTCGGGGAGCTGCTCTTCAGCGGGGAGGCTTCCGACGTCACGCTCCAGGCCGGCGGGGAGACGTTCAGTGCTCACAGGTGCGTGCTCGCTGCGAAGTCGCCGGTCTTCAAGGCAAAGCTCCTCGGCTCCATGAAGGAGGGTACCAGTACCACCAACTGTGCCATCCGCATCGAGGACATCGAACCACGGGTCTTACAGGCCGTGCTGCACTTCATGTACACCGACACGTTTCCTGAGGTGAGCAAGGAAGAAGAATCCGCCATGTCACAGCACCTGCTTGAAGCCGCGGACAGGTTTAGCCTCCAGAGGCTCAAGCTCATCTGCGAAGAAAACCTGTGCGGGTGCATTGACACGATCTCGGTGGTGACCACGCTCGTGCTGGCCGAGCAGCACGGTTGTCAGGGTCTCAAGGAGAAATGCTTCGAGTTCCTCAAGTCAACCGGTCTGAATGCGCTCATCGCAACTGATGGCTTCAACCATCTGTCTACTAGTTGCCCTGCCGTCCTGGAGGAGCTCACTTCCAAGCTTACTCTCCACTGATGACATGCATGCAAGGAGATCAACATTGGGTAGGTTTCCAGTAATGGTAATGGTAGACTGCTCACTGCCGGTAGTTTATAGCTGCATGTTTCACCACTTCAGTGCATTATCGTAGTCCTCGCGTTAGTGCCGTCAGGAGACTTGTGATGCCACTCTGTGTCTTTGCTCTGTTTGTGTTTTGTCCTTTCATAGGTTCTAGAGAGACATTAGTTTCTCATTTGTGATTCCAAGCTACTCATTCTGCAGAACCTGGATGCTTTAGCTTGCAGCATGTGTTCTTTCTGGAGGATGTTTGATGAATGCAGTCCTATGTTGCAAGGCACTCTTTTCAGCTTTTGAATTTCATTGTTTGCTGAGACATATATGTCCCTAAATTTGGATGGAGAGATCATGCTGTTTGCTATTGCATATGTGACTGATCCGTTTATGTTTGTCGGTTATGAAAGGCTGATCAGTGGAGAAAATTACTGAGAAATTCTTAAGTTGGCTGCATTCAGAACTAGTTTGAGATTAAAATGTTTGCACCCTTCTGGTATAACTATTTGGTGACTCCCGTATGTAGTAACCTGTCATCATCGCCCTTTCTTTTTTTTCCAATCTAGCCCTTTTTTGTTGGTAAAATTTCACATTTATACCTCTGGACGTCAAAACCCATCTATAGGCCCCTTTTCTCGAGAGGTAACACGTGGCACCGAGATAACACGTCTTGACGCTATAGGTCATGGCGCCAAGATCGGAGGCTAGGGAGTGCGTGGCTGGTGATGTGGCGCTGACGTGGCTAGAGCTCAGCGCCACCATTCACGGCGCCGACCTCGGCGCCCTGGTCTACGGCGTCGAGCCCAGCGCCGTGAATTGTGGCGCCGAGCTCTGGTTTTAACCTTAGCTCTAAATTAACATGACTTGGACTCCCTAAAATTTTACCATGAGATGGATATATAAAACTTCGGCTAAGTCTTGATATTTAACATGAGATGGGCAACCTAAAAATTGGCACCCACATCATATGTCCATCTCATCATAGTAAAATGTAACCAAATTTGACATTACCATGTCATGGTAAAATATAAGGGTGTCCAACTCATGATAATTTGTGGTTAGGGTTCAATTCAGAGCTCGGCGCCATTATTCCCGGCGCCGAGCTCAACGCCATAGACCATGGCGCTGAGGTCGGCACCGTGAATCATGGCGCCGAGCTTTGGTCACGTCAGCACCACGTTGCCAGCCACGCAATCCCTTGCCTACTACCTCGGCGCCATGACGTGTTACCTCGACGCCGTAGGTCATGGCGCCGAGAAAAGGGTCCAAAGGTGGGTTTTTGATGTCCAGGTGTATAAATATGAAATTTTGACAAAAAGGGCTAAATTGCAAGAAAAATTTTAGCACGTTTACACCTATTGGACATCAAAACAAACACTTGCAAATCCATTAGTCCAACTTGGTCATGTTGATCATCAAAACCTAAATCCAAACAAATGGGCCAAGGGTCCATTTTCCTGACAACCACTAGCAAGAGGACCGACGGCAACCTTGAGTAGGTGGTTGGCAAACCACTGAACGTGGGATAAAAATCACCATGTCATCATCTTCCAGTTGGTTTGTATTTCCCCAACACAAGCTTGCTTTACTCATTTATATATTGTGCTTATGTTGTTGCTCACTGGCTCAGCTCACAGAAACAACACATGTCACCTCACAAAAAACGACATAACTTTTCACTTGTAACTCCGTTTTTGGTGATCTTGGACTTTCTGAAAACCTTGTTTTGAGGGCTATCCAACCCAACCAAGAACAAGGCCAAAGATCAACAAGTGCAAGTGTTGTGCCATATGTTTCTATCATGTTAGCACTCATGGTTCGGTTAGTTTGAGCACTTGAGACTTGTCTATGATTCGTATTGCATCTCCTTGATAGTACGTCATACTATCGATGAAATCTAGTCGGTAGTCTACCGAGGGGTATACCCACGGTAGTAGATGATTGGTGGAGGTGCGCGTAATAGGAACCTGATGGTGACATGGGCGCAGGGACATCGATTTAGACAGGTTCAGGCCGTCTGATCGACGTAATACCCTACGTCCTGTGTCTTTGGTGGATTGTATTGAATATGAGATACATTCGAGGGGGTCCCTACCCGCCTTATATAGTCTGGAGGGTAGGGTTATAGGTCGGTTTAGGTCTAGATCTATTTGGCTATATGGTAAGTATTTACAAGGAATACGAGCCGGAGGAAGGCATTGGGTACTTGATAGTGGGTGCACTCAACACATGCCCGATGATGCAAGAATGTTTAACTCAATCATTACCAATGACAATGATGGTTATGATAGTATTACATTTGGTGATAATGGAAAGGCAAGGTCAAAGGGCTTGGTAAGATTGCAATATCCAAGACATGAGCATATCCAATGTGTTGCTAGTTGAGAGCTTGAACTTCAATTTGCTATCCATGGCTCAATTGTGTGATCTTGGATTTAAATGCATATTTGGGGTAGATGATGTAGAGATTATAAGTGTAAATGGCTCAAATTTGATCTTCAAAAGCTTTAGATATGAGAATCTATACTTGGTTGATTTCAATGCTAGTGAAGATCAATTATCAGCATGCTTGTTCACTAAGTCTAGTATGGGATGGTTATGGCATAGAAGTCTTGGTCATGTTAGAATGAAACAATTGAATAGATTGGTTAAGCATGACTTGGTTAGAGGCTTGAAAGATGTTGTGTTTGAGAAGATAAACTTTGTAGCTCTTGTCAAGCCGACAAACAAGTTGGAAACACCCATCCTAAGAAAAGCATGATGAGCACTAGTAAAGCATTTGAGTTGTTACATATGGATTTGTTTGGGCCAACACAATACACTAGCATCGGTGGAAACAAATATGGCTTTGTGATAGTGGATGACTATACAAGATACATTTGGGTATTCTTTCTAGTGGACAAGAGTGATGTGTTTGCAACATTCAAATCATTTGTCAAGGGCATACATAATGAGTTTGAAACAACCATCAAGAGAGTTAGAAGTGACAATGGTAGTGAGTTCAAGAACACAAAAATTGATGAGTTGTGTCGGTGTTTTTAGACCACCGACGAGTAAATTTGTATTTACGCATCTGGCTCGGATGGTGTGCTTGGAGGACACAAGGGTTTATACTGGTTTGGGCGGAACGTCCCTACGTCTAGTGTGCTACTGCTTGTGTTACCGACACTTGGTTTGCAGTAGGGGTTACAAACGGGCGAGAGAGGGAAAGGATCCCAAGTCTCTGGTGGAAGGAGTGAACGGGTGCTGAGAGCTCAACCGCTGCTCAGCCGTGTGTTCATGTCGTGCTCTTGTGTTTTTATCTCATGGTTCGGTTCCGTGCGGATCTGGATCCCCCTTCCATGGGGTGCCCTGCTTCCCCTTTTATAAGCAAAGGGAAAGCGCGAGTTATAGCAGAGGAAAAGGAGAAGAACGAGAGAGAGAAGGCTTCCAGGATTGCTAGGTCCTTCTTCTCCTTCATGCGGGTCCCACCGATCCTGTAGATGTCAATAGGGATGGCTCCACATCGTGGCCCTGTTCATCACTAGTGCCATGCGCAGGCGTCATCTGCCGGTCATGGCGTTCTATTCTGTCCCAGTGGACATCGTGGTGAACTGACGCGCCTGTCAGGGTTCGTACGAGGGTTAGGTAGAACAACACCGGCACGCCCAACACTGTTCTTGATGTAAATCCTCATGTATGGCCCATCATAGCCACAGGTTACATTGAGGCATGCCAATCTCTTCCCTAGCGTCAGAGTTTTGACCTAGGCCCATACGCTTGGACTTGGAGTGGTTGGCGATGGTATGGGTCCCCATCAGGCGAGACGGAGCCCGCGGCCTTGGGGTCGGGAGAGACGGAGTATGAACCCAAGGGGTCGGGTGAGATAGATCCTACGGCCTCGGGGTCAGGCGAGACAGATCCTGCGGCCTTAGGGTCGGGTGAGACGAGGCACAAACCCAAGGGGTTGGGCGAGACAGAGCACGAACCCAAGGGGTCGGGCTAGACGGAGCCCTCGGCCTTGGGGTCGGGCGAGATGGGGCACGAACCCAAGGGGTCGGGCGAGACGGTGCATGAACCCAAGGGGTCGGGCGAGACTGAAACCGTGTCCTCGAGGTCAGGCGAGACAGAGCCTGCGACCTCGAGGTCGGGCGAGACGGAGCCCGCGGCCTTGGGCGAGACCCCCGCGGCCTCAAGGTCGGGCGAGACAGAGTCCATGGCCTTAGGGTCGGGCGAGACTTTTTAATTTGTCTTGCCCCATCCAGGGAAGTCAGCATGGGCGCTAACTTTTTTGCTTTGGGTATCCCTAATATCGATACCCGACAATAGCCCCCGAGCCTGTGGATGAGTAGAATACTCCTTTGGAGGTTTTGTCGGACGGGAGGACTCTGAGGGCCTTGGTCTTCTTTTTGTATCCCGTGGAGTGTCCTGGTAGGGCGGTGGTTCCCTTTTTGTCATGATCGGTCTTCTTGGGGGCATGTAACCATAGGATCGGGGAGGTTGGGAAGATTTTTCTTGATTTTGGTCCCTAGGATCTGATCGGTCCGTCGTCGTACTATGTCCGCGCATTCAGTCTCCTTGCGAGTCGAACTTTCCTTGAGCCTCCACGCATAGCAGGGGTCTAGTCGAGGGTTGGCTTGTCTTTGTGATGGATGAAACATGGTGCTCGGTGAGCTGTTAACAGGCTAGTCTGAGTGGGGCCCCGGCTTCCCGTTCACGGGGGTCCAGCATGGGTCAGCTGGTGACCGACTCTAGATTCTTGGCGGTCAGTGCATATAATTCTTGGGTTCATTTGGCCAGTCCCAAGGACTCGTTGCCTTTATTTGAGAAAAAACCATGGACTGGAAACCAACCAAGACTCGAACGTGGGCTGGGATGCCCACGGCGCTCGTGCGCCCGGGTATATGGCCGCTAGTGTACTCGTCGGTGGGCTAGCCTTCAAACTCCTGGTCCTAAATGGGCCGTAGGAGCGTTTTCAGCTTTGG